TGGGCTTGTCTGCCAAGGAAACACATCCAAACCTTGAGGGGTTGGGGTGAGTGGGGTATGTGCTTTGACACAGCTCCCAGCGATCCTCACACATCCACTGCATTCAGCCCTTGCACGTCACTGGCCCATTTTCCTGACAGCTGCCCTCTAAAGCTCTTCCCAAAGTTAGCGCCATCTAAGAAGGCCCTCCTGCCCACCTCCAAGCCTTTCCTGCAAGCTGCCTGCCAGACCCTCTTCTCAGATAGTCTGCAGGCATCTAAAACTCACCGATTCTCAAACTGAACAATGCTATCACTGTCCACTTTGTACCTGGACTTTCAGCCAAATCGCTGCCTCTTCCATGAAAGCTTCCCCAAGGTTTATACCACACTGTCATGCAGTTTTGTTTTGCCCACCTCCCCTCCTGCCTGTGAACGCTTAGAAGCCTTTTTGTCTTCTGACCTCCAGTGGCCAGGCCAATACCTGGCACGTGATAAACATCCAATGGATGTTTACTGAATGGATGAAAATGAGCCCTTGGGCAGGTGGGCCTGGTTTTGTCTGCCAAGTCATGGGGATTTCTGCATACTGACTGTACAGACTGAGGTTCCCTTTGGCAAATACTCATATTTTTTCTGTGGCCATCAAAGAAATAGATACTGATATTTCTAGCAACTCTTTGAGTTATGATACAATTATTCTGTGAGGTGACTTCACCTGCAATTTTTAAAAGGTTCTGGCAAGATGGTCACTACTGCAATTACACTGGACCCCACTGGGTGTCGCTGTTGCTGCTTAGAGGCGATAATGGCCCAGCTGTGGAGTCCGGGCCTTCTGTCCTGCAGGTCCTTCCTTTTGACCTCACTCCCTTCCTAGCACCATACGGACTCATACTTTGGAATGTCTACATTCAGGGCTTGCTTTAACCAAATGTCAAGGCTTCGGGTAAGGCAAGGGAATTGGCCATCCTACTGTAACCCAAAGCCCTCTTGCTCTGTTAGGTTCTCAATTTGTTCTGGCCTGTCCAGATGGAGACCAGATGATCAATCACACTTGTCAAGTCTGAAACTCCTTACTTTAAATCAGATTGAATTCCTATTTCCTTTATAAAAACAGTCAGAATAAGCCTCTCGCCTTTTCTTCCTAGGCTTCCTTCAAGTTCTTAGTCACCTGGCTGTGTTCCTTCCGGACACCCTCCTCCCAGCCCTACGGCACTATCCTCCTTTTTCTAGAGGCCACAGTTGTGGACACAGTCTGACAGCTGCTCAGAGGAAGAGGCCAGTGGGGAAGCCTGGTCCTCTTACCATTTGGCTGCCTGGACCTTTTCCTCATTCTGTGCCTTAGTTTCTCCAGTGCCTGGCCAGCTCCAGGTGTTCCAAAGACTGGTGTTTCAGTGTCATGGGGTGATGGAGTGTAGGTGACTTTCTCCTTTTTTTCATAGCATGCTTCAGGGTTGTTTTGTTGTCTTCTTAATAATAAAGGGTGAAGCGCTATGAAAATATTTAAGAAGGTGACGAGCCAAGGACAGGACTCCCTGTCTTCTTCATGAGAATTCAACCGTATCCTACAGGTCCCCCCAATCTTTTTCTTCCCTCACCAAGCACGCAGAGAACCCATCGTCCCGTTTCTTTTGGTCTCTGGCTGTTTTGTTCAACTGTGGCTTCTTTGCTATTCATTTTCTCCATCTAATTTAATGTTTTCCTCCAAGCAGCCCACCTGAGGGGAGCCATCCACAAAAAGTGGTCAGTGAATAACCACAAGGGAAGGCAAACACACACACTTGTTCATGGAGCCCTATTCTGAGCCAGGCCTGGAGTGGCCCCCTTCATCACACTGTCCCCCAGAACTCCTTACAGCCCCACAGGAGGCCTTGGGGTCCCCAGGGAGGAAACTGGAACAGGCAGGGCCCGGTGCTCCCTGATGCCAGGAACCACCTTGGCAGGAGCACTTCGAGGTCAACCACAGGGTGAGGCTGAACCTCATCTGAGGACTCAGAACACACTGCATCATCCTTGGGTGCTCTTTGCACGGTAATTGAATATTTGTAATTGAATAAATTCACAGAGGCCTAATTTTACATTCCATTTTCAGAATGATGGATTTTTTTTTTTTCTGCAGCTTATTCTGAGGGGACAGGACTTTTTAAAAAAAATGTTAAAAACGAATGAATGTGTTTACATATTTGCTCAAAAGCTCAGTCCTTTTGGAAAGGCAGAAAATGGAATAAAAAGGCTGTCTGGGGAACTCAAGCTCCCGTGGACAGCCCGCGCTCCGTGCACGCTGTGAACCTCCCAGAGGAGCGGGGACACAGGGAAGCCAGGGTCTCCAAGGGCGCCCCTCTCCGCCCCAGACAGCAGAGGGTGTGATCTGGTGACAAAATCAGTTGCCAGGGTCGTCGGAGTTCCCCTCCTCAGAGAAGTGTTTGCATTTTTAGAGAGAGGCTGATTACGATGACGTCAGAGGAAGGACTCCAGGTGGCCCGGGGCGGGGAAGCCCCTTACCGGCGTCCCTCCCCCTCCGAGGTGACCCATCCTCGGCCGGACCTCGGGTACCCTCGTGGGGAGGGGAGGGAGTGGCCCCCTCTGTCAGGTAACGTGCTGCGCGGGGGTTCGCCGGTGACAGAGCTGCATGCTTAGTCGTTCGGAGGCTCAGTGTGCATGTGACCTTTGTCCCACTTCGTTTCCTGGGCCTCTGTCCCTGCCGCCCTGGCTGCCGGGGCTGCGCTGGGGCCCAGGGCCCTGGACCGCAGCTTGCCAGCTGGCGCTGTTGTGCTGTGACTGTTTCTTCTTTAAATTTAGGAGGAAATAGAACTTCTTCAATCTGATAAAGCTTTATTAGAAGAGGGTAAAATTGAAAGGCCTAGAATGCCATTTGAAAAATCACGGAAAGCAAATTTCTCTGTGGAGATGAACTTTTTACACCTGGTCAGCTTTCCTCGCCTGTTACCTGCCTGGCTCCAGAAGGCGACGGGGCAGGCGGCCCCTGCGCGGAGGCCGGAGTTTGCTTCAGCTCAAAGGTTTGCTTTTGTTTGGGGCTGCTTGAGCCGAGAAGAGGGTGCGCCTTTTTCTGCTAGGTCCTTAGCGCTGAACATGTGAACCCCCGCCCCGCCTCCCCTCAGGAGGCTGGCTGACTCCAGAGTCGAGGGGGCAAGGCTGAACGCAGAAGTGTGATACACCCTTTAATAAAATCCCATCCCGGGACAAACCCTCCCGTCAAATTGCTGAAGGATCAAGGTGTGTGTGTGGGTGGGAGGCGGCGCAATATGTGGAGTGCGTGTGCATGCGTGCTAACAGTGGGCATTTCAGGATGCTGGGTTGTGTGACTCATTTTTTCCTTTTCTTACACACATATATATATTTTAATTTTTTTAAAATGTTTATTTTTGAGAGAGCGTGAGCAGGGGAGGGGCAGAGAGAGGGAGATACAGATCCCAAGCAGGCTCCAGGCTCCCAGGTGTCCCCCAAAACTGTGAGATCATGACCTGAGCAGAAGTCAGATGCTTAGCCTTAAGCTTAACCGACTGAGCCACCCAGGCGCCCAGCACGTATATTTTTTGCACAAACATGTAACAGTCGTAAAATACAGTTATTTGAAAAGTAGAAGTAAAATTACGTAGCTTTTATTTTTGTGGAAACTGAACAAAAAGACATTGAATAATTAGAAAAAGACTTCAGAGGCAACCTTTTGAAGGGCATTTTTTATTATAAATTTAATATGGTTGATTAATGAAAAATCACAATGAAGTACCAAGAAAACGTTTGTCAATATAAAAATTTTAGCAGCATTTCCACGGTTTCAGGCTCCAGCATCACTCACACTCCCTCCCTCCCGCTTTCAGGACAGAATCCAGTGGGACTACAGTAGAGCCTCAAGATGTTCAGCTTAGTAAAGGCCTCAAGGAAATCCTCAAATCCAGTGTATTGTCTGATATTTCAACTCTACCCCCTCCTGAATGTCAACTCACTCGCCTTAGTGTTTTAAGAATTCGCTTTTTCAGGCTGCAGGGGAGAGTACGGGTGAAAATTTAAACTGGACTTGGTGTGTGGTGCTTGATTGGGCAGCCTCACGTATGTACATTCTCTACACGATGACGACGACGACGACGACGGGCCACTGCAGGGCTCACCAGTAACTAGCGAGTGGTGGCAGTGGGGGCAGGGGACAGGAAGTAGGATGCTCGTAACGAGCACGTGACAGGGGGCTGGTGCTTCGGGCCTCCGCCCTGCTAGGGGGCAGGCCGGGGCGAGGCGGTCTCGCTACAGCCTAGGTTAACAGTAGGATTCATGGGAAGGGGAGAAAGACAGTATGAAAATATAATACTGGCAAACTATTCCCCTGCTTCTTTGGTACTTTCCAAAATTCTCTGATCAAAAAAGTATATGGGAAGCACACCATTAAAAAATTACCGTTTTAAGTATTTACAGAGGCAATTATGATATATTACATAATCAATACACAGTATATGAACAAATTCCTCAGTGAAAGCACTTGTGAACTCCTACCCCAGTATTACTCAAGAGCACACCCCCGGACGTACATCTTCCCAAATGTGCATCCAACCCGATTCACACTTATCTTACAGTATATTCAATGGGAAAAATAGCACTTTCCAATCTACACTTTCCTTTTAAAAGGTTCTTAAAATTTGCCACTGAAATTATTCCATACAAAGATTTGTTGAATATTGAATTCTAGACAATATTTCTCCACTCCCATTTCGAGTATGTTTGAAATAATGCTATCTATTCTATGTATACAATATATATTTAACATGTAAGTAACTGCACCACGTTATGTCACCACGATACCAGTTTAATGCACATGATTATGTACAGTAGTTAAGTTAGCTCTGGAGGATGACTCTCTACAGTGTAGGTGAACAGTGTGGTTTGGAACCATATGAAAGGGCCATGGACAAGCTGGCTGGGAGACAGCCCGTGCGCAGGCAGCGTGCGTGTAACACGCCACCCACACATACCCACACCAGACCCTCCCTTGTGTACTGGGCAGAAGAAGACAAATCACACATATGGAAGAATCCCGTACATGAGAAGAGCCATGATAGCAGCACTGAACAACCCGGCCACGGGGACAGTCACAAACCAGGCCACAAAGATGTTCCGGAAGAGGCGCCAGTCCACGGCTTTCCGGGAGCGGATCCAGCCCACGGCCACCACGGACCCCACCTGCCGGAGCACAAAGATTTAACAGTAAAAACAGAGGTCCACAGATCTGAAGGCGAGACACAAAATCTGCGTTCAACCAATGTAAATTGGCTCATCTCAGAAGGAAACTGAATTCTATATAATATTACCAATTCCTTCCCCTCCATTTGTTAAAGCTTTTAAAATAGTTTAGATTTCAGGTACAGTTACTTTAGGATTATTCTATTTAGCATATAGTTCTGGTATACTTTTCCACCTACGTTCTGCTCTGAGTGGAACTTTAGCCAATGACATGTTTTCTATTCTCTCTGCACCTTACAAACTATGAATGTTCTTGTTTTAAATATTCCACAGGTAGGACACTGCTTACTGCAATTTATGAACCTGTTTTAATCACATAATGAAATGGCAATAACGTATCCTTCTCTTAGAATAACAGCATCATAAATGTTGGAGCTGGAGAAGACCTTTGAGAGTAGCTAATCAGCGTCATTTTTTACAGAGGATAACAGATCCCGAGAGGATTCGGGGGCACAAGGAGCTATCGTAAATCACAGCCGACTGAGGACTAGAACTCAGCCCTCTTGATTTTAAACTGGTTTTCTCCTCCATCTCAAACTGCTTGCAGTTTTTGTACTTTAGCTAGTGTGAGGTGCAGGAAAAAAGTAAAAAGTGAAGTGAAATAAAATAAAATGAACATAAATATTATTGGATCTAAACTGTCACTCATGTCTCCCAAATGACACGTACAGATACTTGAAAATCAGAATGTCAACAATGATTTCAAGTATTTTTGTTTTTTTTTTAATCGAGAAATTTTACTTATGAACAAAAGACAAATAGGAAACATACTTGCAATATGTTGTCAAGAAGGGTATAAGAATAAATGGGTTAAAGACAAAGAAAAATGTGGCTTCTGGTTGGCTCAATCAGTACAACATGCTCAACTATTTTTCTAAACACTCACAGTTCATTTTATGGTTTGTTGAAAGTTTAAAGGAAAAAAGACTCAACTTTATCCTAAAAATGAAAATCATAAGAAAGTACAATGCCTGTAATATCTCCTGCCTCATTCAGGCTCTGGTGGGGCTCAGCACTTGACAGAATGCCCTTGACCATTTGTGAGGTGGATTTTTTTTTTTTTTTTTAAATTTTTTTTCAACGTTTATTTATTTTTGGGACAGAGAGAGACAGAGCATGAACGGGCGAGGGGCAGAGAGAGAGGGAGACACAGAATCGGAAACAGGCTCCAGGCTCTGAGCCATCAGCCCAGAGCCCGACGCGGGGCTCGAACCCACGGACCGCGAGATCGTGACCTGGCTGAAGTCGGACGCTTAACCGACTGCGCCACCCAGGCACCCCTGTGAGGTGGATTTTTAAGATCTCTATAAAATAGGCTTTGTCTCTACCGACCCTCAAATACTCCAGAATCAGCAATGACCAATGAGTCAAGTATCAAGCAGGGTCTAACCACAGAAAAAATAAAATCCAACCCTTTAGATTGTTTATGGATGCAAACTGCAGTGCCAAAAACAGCAGCATATTTAAAGGCAGTTAATCTGACATTTTGTCAAAGCCAGGTGGTGATTAACATCTCCAGGACAGCAACTGACTAACCTGAGTAAGGGGCCATCAAAATGACTGATTTTATTTAAACTCTTTGGCCATAATCAGTACCCTGTATGAACCTGATAATCCTGCTTAGCAGTTCCTAGAACATGACAGACAATCGAGAGTTTTCTACTGCATAAGGATCAGCTAGTTTCTGTTGGTTCTCAAATATGGTCAAATCCACACACAGTAGTTCCTGAGATTAAATTCTTCCTGTTGCTCACAGTCTCTCTGGAGCACTGTCCTCTTTAGCACACCTCCTGTTGTTCTGGATTCCCTTTGGGAGGACACCCTCAAGTTTCCATTTTATCTCCACCCTCTTCCTTTCTTAGAACACTTTTTACCTTTTTTTTTTTTTTTTAATGAGAGAGATCGAGAGAGAGAGAGCGAGCAAGCATGAGTAGGGGAGAGGGGCTGAGGAAAAGAGAGAGAGAGAGAATCTTAAGCAGGCTCCATGCTCAGCCCCGGAGCCTGAAATGGGGCTCGATTCCATGATCATGACCTGAGCCGAAATCAAGAGTCGGATGTTCAGTCAGCTGACTGAGCCACCCAGGTGCCTCTAGAACATTTTTTTTTAAAGCATAAAGTTAGAATAATATATAACAAGTTTATGTACTTGGAGGGATAGACAATTACTCAGACCCCCACTATTGTCCTATTTATATATTCCTTTCTTGTATTTTTTATCAATATACTTTTGTTTGTAATAGGGCATACTGCTCCTTTCTTAAAAAAAAAATTAACATTACAGGCATCTTCCCATAGTGTTCACAGCCTTTATGATTATCATGAAAAATGACACACCCTTAAGGTGGATGTATCTTAATTTATTTAACCGTTTCCAGTTTGCTTCCAACTTTTCCCTACTGGAAATAGTTTCATGATTAATGTATTCATTCATATCACTTATATTTAGGCTTAATAAATAATATTCCCTGAAACAGATTATTAAAGAGGGCATTTAGTTTTAGTTTTTATTTTATTTTTAATACCAATATAGTTAACAATACAGGGTTATATTAATTTCAAGTATACAATATTCAATAATTTAAAGGGTGCATTTAAAAAAAAATACCTTGAAATAATTTGAAACTTAGGGAAAAGTTGTAAAAACTCCACATACCTTTTACCCAAATTCACCTTTTTCTAACCTTTTGTCACAATCTATGAGGAAACATTTTAATACTATTAAGATACCCTGCTCATCAACCTCCCTCTGTCCTCCCGCTAAAGACTCTGCAATCCAGCCTTTATTACAATGGTTGCAACACAGTAATTTACCAGCTCCCCTCCTCATGTGTCAGAGGAAGTGCTGCTCACAGGAAGAAGTCTCCTCTCCTAACGCATTTAGGATCGTAATACATCCTGCCAAATAGTTTTATAAACAGTTGTAAATACACAAGGTTGTCGATAATCTGTGAATTTAGGCACCTGTAAAAACACTACAAATTGTTCTTTTTTGCTAACCAATCATAAAATGTATTACTGTTGCTTTAATTTGCATATTTTAATTACTCCGAAGGTTGAACTTACTTTTATTTATTTATCCAATTTACTCCTTCTAGTCTTTACATATAAAAATTGCCTCTCCATGTATTTTGCCCATTTAAATACTGGAATCTAAGTGTGTCCCTTATTTATTTATGTGTGGTCTTTACTAAATGATATTAACTGTTAATGCAAGTTATTTTCTCAATTCCGTATTTTGCTTTGTTTCACATTCAAATTTCTAATTCCACACAACAAATTACACTGCACTTTTCTCCTGTAATTTACCCTTGAATATTTGATAAATATTTAATTGTATAAGATTCTATTTTATTCTAAGTTTTAAAATGTTTTAAAAATGCTATTTAAGCCATCAGATATGTATTTTCTGAGAGCTGTGTGTCTTTGTTTTTCTAGATTGACAGCCAGCTAGTCAACATCGTTTACCCAACATCATCAAACTGTATGCTCCTCTATAATAGGTGCCCTCTTGGACCTGTCTACTGGTTTTATACAAACTGTGGCAAAATATGTACACAATGAAACATATCATTTTAGCCATTTTTAAGTGTACAATTGAGTGGCATAAAGTTTATTCGCACTGTCCTGCAACCATCATCTCCATACCTTCGTCATCTTCCCCAGCTGAGACTGCGCGGGGCCACACTGCTGCCCAGCCTCCGTGTATTTTTAACTCGTCTCTTGTACTCTCTCGCTCGTAAGGCTGGTCCTTCCTCATCGTTTTTCATTTTAGATCATTTCAGATTCTTACTAACTTAACCTACCAAATTCACTTTAAGTCAGTTTGTGAAGTCAGAAGAAAACTCCTTATAAAATTGAGCTTTCCTGTCGGGTAACAGTGTCTCGTCTGCGGGTGTTCTTTCACCTCTGTGCAGTCTTGTGCCTTCTTCATGTTCCTCACTCCCATTTATTAGGATTATTCTGAAATACCCTTCTTTTTGCTGCAATCCTGGGGGTGGGTGTTCTGGTTTTTATTACATTTTCATTCTGGCTACTGCTGACAGACAAACTCTATAGAGTTCTGTATTTTTATGTGGGCTTGGTCATTTTCACTGAATTCTAGCAGTATTTTAAGAGATACATGCAGAATTTTATCAAATGTCTTTTTGGCATATATCTCAATAGACGATCATATGTTGTTTTTTAATGGATAAGCCCTATTATATTGAAGATGTCAGAGTACCCTTCTTGGGATTCACTCAACACCTATTTTGTTGAGCACTTATGAGGGGCCAGCCCTGTGCAGGTACTGCCGTGTTCAGAGCCTGCTTTCCTGTAACCTGGAAAATTAATTTGATCCTGCTGAAATGTTTTTTCGTAAACTCATTGATGTTATTAGCACCTTACATTTTATACTAGTATTCATATGTAAATATAGCTTTCATTGTCATGTTTACTAAAAATTTTTTTTTTTTTAATATTTTTGAGAGACAGAGTGCAAGTGGGGAGAGGCAGAGAGGGAGGGAGACACAGAATCTGAGGCAGGCTCCAGGCTCCGAGCTGTCAGCACAGAGCCCGACTGGGGCTTGAACTCACGGACCATGAGATCATGACCTGAGCCAAAGTCAGATGTTTAACCGACTGAGCCACCCGGTGGCCCCTATGTTTATTTTTTTTAATGTTTATTTTTGAGAGAGAGAGGGGCAGAGAGAGAGGAGAGAGGAAGACAGAGTATCCGAAGCAGGCTCCACATGGACAGCAGAGAGCCTGATATGGGGCTCAAACTCATCAGCTTCGAGATCATGACCTGAGCCGAAATTAAGAAGCTTAAGACGCTTAACTGAGTCACCCAGGTGCCCCACATTGTCATGTTTTATTAGGTATTAGTCAACGTCATTAGAGTTTTGGTATTGGGGTTATTCAGTATATGCTTTATAGAACAAAATGAGGAGTTTCCTCTT